AAAAATCCTGGGATTTCACGGAGGAACACTCGTGAAAAGTATTGCCAAAGTCCTTTGGGATTTCCCAAAGAACTCTGTAGATTTCACGTGTCGAGTTTAGCTTTGAAACATGAAGACGAATGAAAACTTCCACCTTCAACATCTGTTTTAGTACACAAAAACTAAGAACGGACTCCTCTGGGAATTTATAATACTGGTGGAAAGTGAATCTTCGGGAAATCCCAAGAAATTTTTAACAAACACTTAGGAAGAGTTGAGCTCAAGATGAGTAAACTACGCAACGCGCGCTGCTCTGCACGCTGTGCACCCCTCGCCGGTGGATGTCTTCCGGTTCCGATTGACGGCCGCCTCCCTCAGGCTTCCCGAGACAGCCTCGCCTCCCTGTCCGTCCGATTTGCAAAACATGTCTGCCCGTCCCGACTCGCCGGCTCGGCTGCAAGCCATTCGGCGCCGCTTGAAGTCAAGGCGCGGCTCGCTTCGCCGTCCCTGCGTGCCATATCTGTCAATCTTCGGCAGACTCTCCTTCGTCGCTGCTCTGCGCCCCCCCCCCCTCTTTTTCGTGCACGTCCTTTCCCCCCTCCCCTCTCCCCTCCACCAGCCCGTGCAGTGCTGAGCGGAGCGAGGCGCTGCTGAGAATGAATCAATTTTTAAGTAACTGAACCGCTTCTTCGCTCGTGCCGAAAAGGGCGTCTGCCGAGATGCTACGTGACCCAAGTTACCCAAGTGGGTGGGCCCTCTATCTACGGCCCCTTGACATTCGTACCCCGGTATTGGTAAAAATATCATGTCGTGGAAAACGTACCTGCACCTCAGGCTGAGGAGCTGCAGATCAGATCCCCCCCCCTCCCCCTCTCCTCGTGCCAACTCGGTCGCCCATATAAGCCCGCGCAAGAAGTTTATTGGGGACGCTTTAGCGGTGCAATCAAGTCATCATCGTTCCCAGCGCGCCGCACCGCACAGTCAGAAAAAAATATGTACTGCTGAAGCAAAAGTATGTTTGTAGGTACTATATGTTTTATGATTTCCCATTTACAAAAATATGTCGCAAAAAATGTACAACGTCGGAGCTCATTCGATTCCAAGTCGATACTCAGTAATAGTTAATTTACAATCTTGAATTGTTACTGTACTGCATCTTTAATGGAAGACTTTCTTGTACCATGTACGACAACTTCTCACAGTGTGCTGGTATTTTTGCTGCGTTTAATAAAAAGAGAACTTACTTGCCTTTCTGATCCTTTGCATGAGCTGATGCCACTCATTGCAACTCTCCCTCTTTCGGCACGTGTGTGATTGTGAATACTTACCATCGTTGAAGTCTGCCGAAGAGCCGGCTGACCACTGCCATTGCCAAGTACTTGTTCATGCGATGCGACTTCTGGAAGTGCGGCACGACGGCAACTGAAGGGCACTCAGTGGACGCAAGTGCTCCTTTGACGCGGTTGTCATTTTTTTTACCCCTCTGGAGTGATTCTGATCGGCCTGTCCGGTCCGCGCTGCAGCGCAGGGGTGTGGCCTACGCTGCCCCCCCCCCCCCCGCCCCGCGCCCGCGTCACAAACTGGTTCGCGCCCGGCAGTCGTTTTGACGCCGCTCTGCGAAATAATAATAATACGAAACAGTCACTCGCCCCTGGCTTCCTCTCGGAAGCGGTAGGAAATTGCTTTTTATTTTTTTCCTTCTCCTTTTTCTGGAGTATGTACTCAACTGCTCCTCCAGGGCACACTCACTGTGAAATTGCATCCAATGTACTTCAAGTCGACTTCCTCGAACAGGGTCACTCCAAACGAAACAGATACCTCTTCGAAATCATTTTATTTTGACCCCTGGTACAAGCTGCCAGATAGTTCTGAACATGGGTGACAGTTAATTGGGGCAGGGGGGGGGGATAAAATTTAAGTCATTTGGGACAGTTTCGTTTAACTGAGGTTTTACTCATTGCCGCTTTTTACTATACCCGCTGTAGCTGTAGTGAATTAATCGACTTTTGGAATTACCTTCCCTTCTACTACCATGCACATGAATGGGTCAGTGATGCCTGCCGTCAATTTGAACTTATAGCGTCCATAAACCATGACCGGCATTTTAGGATATACTCATTCAACTGGTGCTTCATTGATCTCGTAAACTCCCTGAAAATAGACGTGATCCCAGCTTGTAAATTTATACTTGTTTTGTGATGAGATCTGCAGTCTTCGCTCTTTACTTTAACATAGATTACTAGAACACAAGAGCCAAAGAACAGAGTAAAACCTGCAGTTTGTGTACTCACAGGTCTAATCATGCACTGGCCTTTAGTTTCTCCCTTCTTAAATAAATAGCTATAAAAGCTAGGGAAATTTTCTTTTATATGCATGCATGCTTTGTTTTTAAATGAGAAGACACGAGATTGGTGGCCTGTCAAGAGGTTTCCGGGGCAGCACTGGTCGCCATGGTCTAACAAAGAGTCGGTCCTGATAGTGGCACGCAACTCGTCTACAAAGTACTGCACAGTGCAACTTTTTTTCCATTAGCACTACGATGATAAATAAAGTTTATAACTGGCGTGCACATGCAAGTATCCAACAGCTACTCACTTATCAGTATAATAACTAGGAAAACAAATGCCTTTCTAGGGCTGTTAAATTTCAATCCCTTTGTGAAGGCACTAATACAAGACAAGGACTAGAAGTTGAGTGCGCGCTGCTGGGTGACGGCTGGGCTTTCGAGTATGTACCTTCATTTAAAATGGTGTACGGCCTCAAGGCCGACCTGATGTTTAAGTAGAATAAGAACACGGCTCACCTCCGTTGTCTTGGTAGCTTTGGAGGCAGGGTCGCTGATACTGACGATTGCGGGTTCGGCACTCGGGGTTGTGCGTTCGATGTACCCTTCGGGACGGAAAAAGATAACATTCCCCTTAGAGGTAAGGCCTCGGAATCTGGGTTTCAGTTTTGCTTACACTTTGCGACACCTGTAAGTTCGACAACCCCGGGAGTATGTTCTGAACACTGTGGTTGGAGGCGGCTGATCCTCGTCAGAACTCATCGACTACGGGTGAGGGGTGTACTCCGCCCCCCCTTTTTTTGACCAGGTGGGGGGAGTTTTAGCTTGAGCAATGAGCATTTACGGCGCCGTTCTGTGACGTAGAGCTGCACGTCGCAGTTTTTCCCTCACTGCACTGCACCCCTTCATGGCCTCTGAAGCCTGTTCCTCTTTGAAGCACATTCTTTCAAACTTCGGCATATCGATGAGGTCGGAGAAAATTAGGTCGGACAAAACCTAGGTCGGCAAGCGCTTTTGGGGATTTTGGAAAAATCAACAGGATGGAGAAGAAATAGGTCGGGCAAACTAGCTGCACCGCTACAATTACTTTCTGCTGCTGGACCGCCCAGGCCAGGGCCGGGCGGGTGTTCCACAGACAGAGCGCACCGCGCGCGGGCGTGCCCAAGGGCGTGCCACGGGCCATCCGAACATGTTTTATGTGAGCAATCACAGAGCCACTCGCCCCACCCCGCCGCCTTGCTTGATGGAGATCAATGCGGTCTCTTTACTGCTGCCGCCCCGCTGCGGACCGTGAGGACGCCACGAGACAGCTTGCCCGCCCCCCTCCCTTTCCCCTTGTTCCTAGCGCGTACTACCACTCGCCGCAGGTTGCGCTAGGGCTAGGGAACGCCACCAGGTAGGAGTTGGTATTAGCCTTTCATCCACAGAAACTGAGGCCTGGAGACGGCGGACCGGACATCCCTTAAAAGCTGTGGACTCGCATCATTGAGTAAACTTTGAAATTTTGTAGCTAACACGTTTAGATGTTTAGTGCAGTTGTTCATCTTTCGGGTTGGGAAAAACCAGCGAGAGTTGCCTTCCGGTATTGTACTCAGATTTTAAGAAAGTCTCCTTTGAAAAATTGGGAATTTTTCTTTTGTTATGGTAAAATATCCTCAAAATCTGAGGCAATTTCGCTAGACTATATGAAACGATAAGCAAGTTTTCTTTTTTCCCTCAAAAAAATAAAAATAAAAATT